AATATAATTGAACGGAAAGGTTACTGTCTCTCTGTGTTGATATTTGATTGCGTACTGCCTGTTGACTGATAAAGCAATTGTTTCTCTCTGTATCTCATTATATGTATGCATCTACTGATAGAATGACTTTGCTTTTGTTGCCTGAATTCTTCTCTCCCAGAACGTATTTACCAGGTATGCTCTGTTGTCTTTACATCTCATTGATATGATCAAAATAGCATAGCAATGATATCTTATGCGATGCTTGTTGCTTGGTTATGCCTCCTGGTTTAGGTTACAAAAGTCGACCATTCACATGAAGGAAGAGGAAAAGCCACGATCAAGGTTCATTTCTGAACTTTAAAGTTTCTATGTGTTTGAGTTTAATTGAATTTTTCCTTGGACGTGTTTTTGGGATAACTGATAAGCAATAGCTTCGGGTAGGGGAGATTTTAAATAGATCTTCCAATTGCTTCAAGTTCTCTCTTAAACACTCTCATTGGGGTCGAGACCCTTTATAGTGTCCTAAAAATTCAAAATATTCCTACCAACTAAGGTGTAAAGTTATCTTTGAATATTTTCTGCTGTGGGTTTTCGCCATTTCCTACGTGCTGTGGCTTTTCCTCTTTGGCATCTTCTGGTGTTCCCTAAGAGCCTCTGCAGAAAATACTTATGCATAGAACCCCCATAGTGTTATGAGATAATATTTCCTCAGATTATTACAATCTTGAAGGGTTGAGAGAAATATGTAATTTTTTTTGTGGGACGTTATTGGTTTTCCAGCGTTTTGTTGCAACATTGTTTTTCATAATTTTTCGGATTGGGAGAATGTATCATCCTCACTCTTACTCTTCTGCGTCTCTTCGATGGACTACTTTCTAATAAATCTTATCATGTCTCTCTCTCTCTCTCTCTCTCTCTCTCTCACATATATATAGGTGTTTTTCCTTGCTAATGTAACGTTAACTTCTACTTTATCCAGGTTGAACTTCGTGATGTTGAGAGTGGAAACAAAGTAACTCAACGGTTGGCCACAGATGAATCTGTTGACAGTTACGCACTGTTCCTTCTAGATACCATTCTCGTGCATCCAATAAGCCTTGCATTATGAAAATCTTGTTGCAAATGAAATCCTATTACACCTAGTTGAGGATGTTGGTCTCTATTAAGAAGCATGGGATAAACTGCTCAACATTTTTGTTGGGATACCTCTAATTATTAGTAGATGGTCTTTCAATGATGTATGCATTGATCTGATTATACCCTTAAAATATTTACACATTGACATTTTGTTATCTCGTTATACAATGTCTTCTATCATAATTTTTTTTTCATCCATGTCTATGACATAATACTACATTTTTTGTGCCTAAATGTTAGGAATAGTCTTAGGCATTGCCAATCCTTCCATTTAATGAGCTACCATCATATCTTGTGACTAATGAACTGTTGCAGGGGTTTTTGTGCAGGAGAAAGCATATATATTTATGTGTAGAGATCGGGATGCCAAAATTTTATTAATGGAGTGAGTTCCACTATTCTCCCACTACAAGCTCTTCAATGTTTTTTTGTGGTGAACTTTACTGGAAAGTATTATAAAATGAGATTTACTGAAAATTTGTTATGTTAAACATCAGCCCTGATACGTATGAGCAACTGGAAGTCCCCGAGGAATTGTTTGGCAAAGCTGCCATGTATCTACAAGGTGATTAAAATGACGTGCATAAGCATTACAAATTTATATTCGGTTTGTTACTTGACTCATGTATAATCCAGCATGATTAAATCTTTGTGATTAAAGTCTCATCTCTCTTCCTACTATGAGAAAGCTTCTCTAAACATGTTTAGAGAAGGTTCTATCCTGTAATATAACGATGATGATGATAATTATGCATATGTATCCCACATATTGTCGATCCATTTTTACTTTGTTCTGCACCATCATTCATAATCAATTTCTGTTTGTTTATTCTAGGAACTAACCCTTGATAAACGTGAAAAATAGATGACATGAAAGTTATGGTTCAACTTTTCAATGACACTCCCTTATCTGCATCGGTTCCAAAACGAGTGACGTGTGTTGTGAAGGAAGCTCAACCACCTATGAAGGGAATTGCAGCTGCTCCCAAGTATGTCCTTTAACTTTCTATTCTGGAAAAAAAAATGTTCCTTCTACTTTGTACGTGCGCAACAAATGAAATTGAGACTATGCGACTTTAAGTTGCAATTTTTTTCGCTATATTATCTTGGCTAAAGTGCACCGAACTTTTCGTTCAAAATAGGAATTCAAGGAAGTGAAGAGGAATTTAATTCTTGAAAGCTTTAGAGAAATGGATTGTCTCTGTCTATCATTTTTCCTAATTTCTCATTAGTTTTTCATGTCTCTAATTTATGAAAAAAATTCTACAGTGTTCTTGTGCTAGAAAAAACATTTTTAGCTCGATCATAAACCTTACATTCTAATGACTTTATCTGATTCAGGGAAAAGAAGGCAGTGCTGGACAATGGCATGACATTAAAAGTAGGTTTGGTGCTTCATTTATATAGTGCTACATAACCTCCCTGGGGGACTTTTATTTTTAGCCTTCCCTGTATTTTTAATCTGTTTTCATGCTCTACTTTTTTAACCTTGATGAGCCTCCCAATACATTACCTTCAACGATTTAGGGCTCACTTCCTCTCTCTCATGTATGCGTTCATATCTGAGATGCATTGCCATATGGACGTCTCCTTTCTCACCGACACAGTCTGTTATTTGAGTTATCATGCCATACATGGGCATGTTAATGTACATTTGTATGCTTCTGTGAATGACATCTATATATACGTTTCTGCATAATGAATACGCAATTTGTACATTGGTAGAGAGGCATTGTTTATAACTCTGGTAATTGAGGCAGCATTGGCTTAATCATTGAGGCAGTCCCTTCCTCATATATTTTTGGCTATCCTCTGTTGCTCTGTATAGTTAGCCTAGTTCAAGTTCTCTTCTGCCACAGTTACTGATGCAATTTCGAGTACTATAAGGACCGTGCTCTGCATGTATTTTCAGGTACCACCACACGTCGTTGTCGGAGATGTTGTAGTGATTAATACAGAGGACGACTCTTATATTGAGAGGTATGCCCTCTTGTCATCTGTGAATGTTTTTTTACGACCTCCTTCCGATGGAGAAGAAGCATTGAATATTGTAGAAAATCATTTAAACAATCCTTTTTCACACCATCTTTCTCCTCTGCAGGGCAAAGGGGTAGTCGTAAGATTCCGATGATGAGCACGGTTAGATAGGTCGTCGAGCCATTTCGTTTTTTTTTTGCTAGCTTGAGCGGATGAGCAGTCCTGCTGTAGAAAAAGAAGGTACAAAATTATTTGGTGTATCAAGAGGTATGCAACCCCAACAATCATGCAACTGCTAAGAATGCTTCTTTGGGAACACTATTGAATTGTTGTTGAGCTTCCAATAAATGCTTCTTTTTGTTATAATACCTTATAGTTGTATGCTATGAGAGGGACAAGACCATGTGTTACTTGACTTGGCACAATGAAAGTTAACATTTTTTAGTACTATTTTTATTTGTGTTCAACTCATTTGAGTGAGAGGAACTCGAATCATGTTGAGCTATGTTCAGATTGACAAATTTTGTGGGTATTAATCGATGGTAATAGTCTATGTTCATGCATGAATCTAAGTAGAACGAACAAACTTGGTTCATTGTGTTGAGCTGTACCTACCTGTGCAAGTCAGCTTGATCAATCGCACATTTTCTTCTTTCTGTAAAATTTCAAACAATCTCATCCATTTTTCATAAATTTAGATTAACGTTTTTCTCACCGTTTGTTACTTCACTTATGTTTGTAGTCTAGTAGAGAAAAAATTATGACCTTTATAAAACTTCACATTCTTCTATAAAATCTCATTGCTTGACTTGTTTTATTTTCATGAAACATATTTAACCGGTTTGATTGAGAACGAGGTTGTTTCAGTAAGGCCTTTGTGACCACCTCGAGACAATTGCGAACCTACACGGTTTTAGGTCGAGGGCCATGTATGAGATGAATATGGTATTGTTTATCTTTTTAAACATGCTTTCAAGCTCCCTAGCATTTTCACAATGTAAGCTAGATCAAAAGTGGTGAATTGCAAACTAAATAAATATGTAAATCGTATAATGGTTGAGGTTTTTAACACTTCGATGACGTTATCATAATCTATTTATATGAAAGTTGACATATTACTTCCTTCCTCTTACTTTGGAACGAGATTAAGAGCAAGTTAGTTCTTGGCTCCTCTCAAGACTTATTAGGTCATGGGCGTGCAAAATGCATGTTCACCAGTGCTCGACCTAGATCCAAATGAGCCATTGGGCTTATCGATCTAGTCACTTTTCTCTTGGGTCCAGTGTTGACTCAAAATCTATATAAATTCTGTTTGATTCCTAATAATTTTTTGATAATTGATTCCTAATAAATTTTTGATAATTAACCAAAAAAATCATTCAAATAAACTAAAGGGTTCGTCTTAAATCTCAAGCTTTTGATAAGCATAAGTTTAAACATGTTGGGTATTGTTAACGATCAGTAAAGTATAGTAAATTTATAAATATACATTTTTAAATTAATAGATATAAAATTTAAAATCTATATATTATATACAAATGAAATTTTAAACCAAATAGGGTATTAAAAAAATTTAATTACTCTAAAATTTTTTATGAATCGAGTTGGTTCATAAATTCTAATTTATTGTTAATTTAAAAGAAAATATTTTTTCCATTATAAATACATATATTTATTTTATTATTTTATTATTTATTTTCAAAGAAGGGAGGTAATTTTTGAAAATTTATGTTTTGGATTGAATTAGTTATTTTACCAAAAGGGTTTAAAATAAATAAATGTTTAATCTAAAAATGTCCTAATAAAAACACCGCATCTCCAAATTATAGAGAGTCTAAAGAGATTGTTAATTTAAAGATATTAGGTATTGTAAATTGGAATACTAACACCAATCCAAATGTTCGTGAAAATAAACGGCGGATTAAGAATTCCCCCCACAATTTTTCAACAAAATTTATAATGTTTTGTTTCTGAGGCTTAATGTGTCGAAGAAAACGAGCGAATCGAAGCTTTTGGACTTTCCCACTGAAGAACAATAAGCTGTGCGTACGCTTCCAAATCGCCTGTTCCACCCCACGCCACCGATATAACTCGAATGGTATGATTTCGAATTCTATTTCATTCGTTACCTTCTGATGCTGCACTTCACTTTCCCCTCTGGGTAATGGCTGAATTTCCGAGGGTTGAAATTTTCGAAGGGATATACGAACACTTTCTTTCCGTTTGAATTCGTTCCATCCTTTTTCTGATTTTCTCAATTTTGGGTAGCTTCTTTTGCTTAATGGGTACCTAGGGTTGCGCATTTTCTTTGCATATGTTTGAATTGGATTCAGTTTTCGTGGGTTTGTTCTCGTTTCAGTAATTTTTCGAATTAGGCCCATGAGACGTGATTTGAATGAGGAAACAAAGGTTTCTATTGAGTTTTTGATATGGGGGATGCGGAAACTTTAGTTTGCTACTCATTTGGCTGATGGTTGTTGGTGGTAATGATCACCTGTTCGTAGGGCTTTGTTTTGCTCATTCATATGTTGGTGCTTCTGGATCCTTGCAGGTCAGCAAATGGACGCGGTAGTTGTTTTCTAGCAAAGGCAGTTTGATTGGTTGGAAACTGGTATCTTTGTGGGAGACTTTTAGATCGCTGAAGTGATGTGGACGAATATTTTCAAAATTGTAGGTTCCTGGGCCTATTCTATTTAGATCTATCCCCAATGTATATGCATGGTGGTCGTATCTCGTATGCTTTAATTCTGTTATGTTTCTGCGTTGAATTGCTCTTTATGTTTGTTCCCATAATGGAAACTTGGTTACTTCTTGGTGTTTTGCACATTTTCCCCTATATTTGAGCATGATAAGCGACATAAATTGTGAAAATCTACAATCTCGGTGAAGGAGGAGAATGCCTTCTTTTTCATGAACTTGGCGGTTAATGTTTTAGAAGCACGGATATGACATGACATGGACATAGTGACATGACATTTTTTAAAAAGCTAGGACACAGCCACGACAAGGGCAGATCTATTTAATTATATATCATTTTTGTACAACTAGCGCCTAACACATATCTATTCGTGCTAACTAGTGTTTGATATGTGTCTGACAAGTGTTGAAGTGTCCAAGTGTCTCGCATGTGTCAAACATGGACGCGCTAGCCAAACTAAAGTGTTAGTGATTCTTAGGTTGAAATTAGAGATACATCTTACACTTTTGCTAGTTGATTGAAATCCTTTAGAAGGTCCAGGTTGGGACGTTGTGGAGCTTTTGTTGTGTTCCATTAGAAACTTAACTCTGCATCAGTGCTTTTAAGGTGATACTAGGCAGTAGGTGAGGCAGGGTGAGCACGGGCACTCAATAGTTTGTCATCCTAAGTGCTGTAAAGGGGTGCTTGTGTCTCCTGTTTGTTGCCTTTTGATTGTTTTAGTTTCCCCGTTTGTGGCATCAAAGTAATTTGGCAATTAAAAACGTATCATTGCTAATTCCTGATTTCTTTAGTACATGAATAGAGTACTGTCTTTTCAATTGCTATGATTTGATTGTGCACCCACGCCCAATCTATTCATCAGTTACAACTTCCCTTTTTCTAAAACGATGTGCGTCACTACTCTTAGGCTGATCCTCAAATATGTTTTATTGTTAACTCTAAAATTTATGGCGTTTGTGTAGTCCTATTAATACTCTCTACTGTGATTTTGTCGTAGGGGGGTCTACATCAAATTTCATGGTTCCAGTTTCTGCCTAATGAATCTGACTTGATTTCGTTACCGGACAAAAGGTTAATGCTAAGGGAACCTCTTTCCTAGTTTAACCAATAGGGTTTTTTTTTTTTTTTTTTTGTATGGTCTTCCACTTCTTTAAGGATACTAAAATTAGGCTTTTGGTGTTATAAGTGCAAAGGTTGAGCACAACGATGCTGCCACATTCTTGGTGCTTTCATCACACGTGCAATTACAGAAGGAAGGATTTTTAAGCACTTGGACCAACTCATTTGTTGGGCCTTGGGACCCATCTCAGGGTTTGCACAATCCTGGTGAGAAATGCAAATGTGGTGTAATATGTGTTTTCCATCTAACTGCCTAATCAATTTTCCTTGTCTAACTTTTGATATTTGTTATACCAGATGAAAAAATTAAACTTTGGCTTTTTCTACCTGGGCGCCATTCTTCTGTTGCTGAAACTGCTCAAGCAGCTGTTTCCAAGTTAAGGGGTATGTGCTACTTATAAACACATTGTCCATGATGTAATAAGTTATTCCCAACTTTCTATGTATTTTAAAAACCCGAACTTGGCGGTGGATGATTCAAATTAATTTATTCTTGTTATAACTTATTTACAAACTTGACTATTATCGAACTCATTCTCCATGATACAAAAGGAGTGTATTTATTTAGCTTTTGTGAGCTTTGTTTGAATTATTTGTTGCCGTTAGAGGACTTAATGTACAATTCTGACCCCCTCTGTGGTCATGCTGTGGTCATGTCGTGTTCACAACAGTGGTTGCATCTGGACTGTGGACCTCTCCTGGGGATTTGGAGGAGGTTGCGGCTGCCCTTTCACAGGCATTACGAAACTGTATTGAGAGGTCATTTATTTTGACACACTTACTGTTTATATGCTGTGGTATTTGGTTATCCTTACTCAAAGCTAACTTACCTGGGATTGGCAGATCCTTAACTGCACTTTCATACATGAGGTTTGGAGATGTTTTCACAAAATATCAGTATGGTCAAAGTGAAGAATTATTCAGGTTTCTCTTTAATTCTTGTCAGCTTCAATCTTTCTTTTATATGGATGCTGTGGATTCAGGTTTCTCTTTAATTATTCAGGTTTTTCTTCCTTAGTTTGTGTGGTTTGTTAGGGATTGAAGTGCAGTGGAGTTTGGGAGGTCTAATTAGGATCAAACGGCTTCTAATGTGGTTTGTTAGGGATCGAAGTGCAGTGGAGTTTGGGAGGTCTAATTAGGATCAAACGGCTTCTAAGTGATTTATGGAAATCAAATAATATGTTGGCTAGAATTTGTTCTTCGGCTTCCTGCATGGCTTCAGTTACACTCCAGTATATATTTTTTTTTACTAATAGCTATGCATACTACAATATTTTCACTTAATAGTACCCGTCATTGTTTCTGCCAAAGCTGGGATGTTAAATTTGGTTAATTGCCAGTACATGCAGCTACCTCTTGAGGCAGTTATACATGACACCTATACTATGTATAACTTGTGAAAAGAGGAGAAAAGGCACACTTTTATTTTTCATAACAAGATTAATGAAAAAAAGATACATTGAAGCCGTATAAAGTTGGGGGTAATAGTGTCCACCTTTTCAACTAAAAATACCCAAATGGTGGTTGGAGGGTATAATTTCGTCAAATTTATTCTCCATGAGTTTATTTTCTTAATTGGAAGTTGAAGGTTAAATGTGGGATCATTGTAGCCGGAGTATGTTTTAATGCAAAGGCATATATATATATATATATATATATTCGTTTTTATGACTTCTTACTTTTGTTCTTACCCTTGTTTCTTTGATGGAAAATGATCTTTTCTGATGGATGCCAATGGTCAGGAGAGGGCAACCTACAATGGAGTTCATATTTTCTGCTACTGAGGAGGCAATATTTGTGCATGCCATCATATCTGCAAAGTAAATCCTTTTCTACTTCTAAAATGCTGACTATGCAGGTTAAATTGTTCACTAATTGACTTTTTTTTAATAAAAAATTCCTAGACATATTCGAGCACTATCAAATGCAGAAATTGAAAGAGTGTTGAAGCATTCTGCAAATAATTCCTGTCTTGGACTTCCAGGTTAGCTTGGAAATGGGAAACTTTTGGAAGTTTTGTGTTATAATGATATTGATCTTTCTTTCTGCATCCACTTAATTTTTAATATCATTTTATTTTCATCAGTGATTGTTTCACCTCATGGAATCCGGGGTAGGTTCACTGGATGTTGTGCTAGTGATGTTGTGAAACAAATATGTTCCAGGTACTACATTATATATGGTATGCTTTTCACTTGGCAGATTTCTCAGTCTGTATTTTCAGTACTGTTAGTCATAATTTTTATTCTTTTTGATTTGTGTGAATAGTTCTGGAAAGTCTAGGACTTCGTGTGGATTTGTGGGTTTGCCCCATCACGTTTCTCAAGGTGGCTGCCAATCAAAGGGGCAAAATTGCTATGTTGAAGTTACCCTAGGGTGCTCTAAATCAGTGAGTGAGAGGCCGCTGCAATCCAATTCAAATTACATAAGAAACGTATCAACATCTGGTGATCTGAAAGGATTGGCAAACAATTTATCTTTTCATAAAAAAACTTTTATATATCCATCCGAGGCAGTGCTTGTTTTGTTATTGCAAACTTCATTTGCCAGGTCGTCCTTGAAAAGGTAGTTACCTAATCTTGACTGTTTATCTTCTTTGAATTGCTACCAATTTAAAAGATAAAAATTCGATCTCTTCAGTTAAATTTTGTACGGGTTTTGTGCACTTTTTAAAAATGAAATAAACAAAAGGATTTTTATTGATTTGGTTAAAGTTTATGTCGGCTTCTCTTTGAATTTTTCTAAAACAAAGGGATTAAAAAGGATTTGGAATAATTCCATTTCTCTTCTCAGAAAAAAAAAAAAAAAGGAACTTGAAATAATGAAGAAAGCCTCATGTGACATTTTTTCGTGGCGTTTGTTTCTTCAACTAACTTTGATGCTGAAATTTTCAGATTTTGGCTGCAAAACTGGATAGGACCCTCGTTACCTGGTTCTTCTTTCTACATGCATTGGTAAGAATTTCAGCTCATTGCATCTGACTGAAGTTATATGTTATTAGATTGAGAAATACTATGCGGACATATTTGTTTTTGTGGTAGGTAATGTTCTTTATTCCTGGTTTCCTTGCTTGTAAAGAAAGAACAATACTGAAAGACAATAAAGGAAACAAGACATCCCAAGTTTATGGCGTGCAATTTACATCAATGATAAATGTAATAAAATAGTTACAAAATGTTTTATCTAGGATGTCATGATCTATCGTAGTAAACTAAATAAGAACTAGAAAACTCCTAATTTCCTTTCAGAATTTTCAAACAATCCCATATTCTTTTAAATATGGATAATTATCATGAAGTTTTACTCCCCAGCAAACTTCTCCAATTGGACAAAAGAGTATTGTAGCCAGCTGTAGGAATTGATAGAAGTAGACCATTCATACCAAGATATTGTTAAAAAGACAAAATAATAAAAATATATTATAAAAAAAGTACTTTTCTTTTCATTGAAAACCTTAGGTGGATCCATAGAACCTTTTCCCTATTCGAGAAAAGGTGGTTGGTTAGAGTCTCGTGAAGGAGACTATTTGGATCGCATGGGAGAGCTGTGGTCCATTTGAAAGGGGAGTTAATCTCCGTCCAAAACAATAATATAGTGACTTAACAAGTTTGCTTTTCTTTTTCTTTTTAAATGCTTTTTTGTTATCTTTTTGTTTTTGTTATTTTCTTTGTTTTTAAAGAAATATACATATTAATAAATAAAATATTTACCCATTTTCATGTTTATTTGAGTTTTCTTATTCAAAGGTATATTTTCATGATATGTCTCTTCATGCGAAGTTTTTAAGTGTTAACTTTCATGCATGTGAACAAGTTTCACATATCTATCTTAGTTGTGATGGGATTAAAACTATTACTAACCTTTCAGTTTTCCACTTTTGGTTGTTGTGGTTTCTGTAGCGGTGGAAATGTAGATTATATGGAAGGTTTGTGGACTGAGACTGATAAAATACGTTCACAGCATGGTTACGATAGTAGCAGCAATAGTAACAGTAGCAGCATTGGTAGCATAAGTAGTAGTTCTAGTGATAGTGATTGCAAGACAGGAGCCAGCGAACTTGAAGCAGATGCTGATTCCTTATCTTGCAGGCAGTCTGGATTGTCTTCAAATGACCAGTCAGCAAACAGTGGCCGAAAATTGGTATGCTTGATTAATGTTCTTAGAAATAGATTTATATTCTTTCTGTTGTTACACATGATTTAGAAACTCTGGAGTTGGATTTGTGTTTTGACATGGGAACTCCTAAATTTTGGGCTGACGTCTGTATATGCAATTCTGACTTTTGCCCTATTTGGTAACAGTTTTACTTTTCAATTTCCGCTCGATTATTGTCCATTGCTTAATCTAAATTCTTGATTTTTTAAAACTTCTTTTCAACACTTAAAATCTAAAAAAACAGAAAACAAGTTTTTGAAAATTGCTTGATTGGGAAACATAAAATAAGATTACAAGACTTGGCATTGACTTCTTAAAACAGAGAACAAATAGCCAAATCATTATCTAATGGATTCTTACGCTATTGTAATATGTAGGAAACTCTTTGGTTTGTTAATGAGTTGGTAACCACGTTTCTGTTGGATTTTGACCATATTGTTTTGGTATTACTTTTTATTGCGAGCATTGAGTTTTTTCATATACTTCATTTGAGTTGAAGCTATCGAAGGAATCCATTTGAGGATTTTTGTTACTTTTGATGTGACCTTTTGACTAATTGGAGAACTTTTTTTGTTACTCTCTTTGATAGTATTTCTTGTATAAGGTTTTCTCTCTTTTTTTTAATTTTGCATATAATCAATGAAATATATTTTTTAATGACAAAGGAATTTTACTCATACTGACTCTTGATTTTTTTTTCTTTTTTTTTTTTGGTAGTATCTTCTAATATTTTCTATTTGAAGAAAAATTTGGGCCTCTAGAATATTTACTGGTTAATTGAACTTTTTATTTGTCAGGGTATTAAGCGGTCTCGTTCAGGGATGCCAGATTCGTTAGATCAAATGGGTACAGGTGCTCAAATTCAGGATGCTTTCAAATCCGAGTTTACATCCACCGAGCTCAACAATTCCGCTATTACAGGAGTTAGTAATGTGCTAATTGGATCTCCTTGGGACTGGGATGATGATGACAGGGGCGTGGATGACATTGAAGATCTCCTTTTGCATTTTGGGAGCTTCGGAGACTTCTTTGTGAATGATGTTTTACCATTTGGGGAGGTATTTTCCATGTGTTTTATGAAATCTTATGCTGCAGTATGACTACATGATAGTTGTTATTGTTGCATCTCAAGTTCATGGTGATGATTGGTTTCTGATTTTTTTCCTGATTTGTTTGTTAAAGTTAATGCGGTCATTGAGTTACTTCGTTAACCTTTATAAGTTTCTTTTTCCGAGAAACAATTCTCATTGGAATGAAGTTGGTGCTTAGCTGCAACGATTATTTGCATTATTAAGATCTACCATAATTTTTTTTAGAATTGACACTGATATATGATGATAGTTCATTATTATTTTATTAACAAAGTACCCAAAGTTTTGATAAAAATTATAATGAGGTTTATTATAGCACATTGTAGTGTATTATCGCCGTCCATCTTCCTCAGTTCAATTTGAAAGCAGTTTATTCCTTTTTTTTTGTCCTTCCTTCATATTCCTACTGATTATGTGAATACACTCATGGAGCTCATCATGGTATTATCTTCTGAAGCCCCCAGGAGCTGCAGAGTCACAATCTCTTTCGTTTTCGGCTCCAGACTATGCTGATGTAGGTAGCAGTCCAGGTGGGGTCATGGATGTTTCTGATCAGATGCTTTTGCCTGTGGGGTTTCCCTCCTTCGATAGCTTCAACCCAGCTGTTACAAAAACAACAGATGAGGTTCTAAGCAAAGATCATGAAGTCACAAACAATGCATTGTCCTCAGTAACAGCCAATCAAACTCCAGTGTCTTCTTCTGGGGAGTTTGATCAAATTACCAAGTATGAAGCTCTGATGACACTTGCTCCAGAATATGGAGCAGTTGAAACACCTACAAGTGAGTTTTCTTCATCAATATTCCGAAGTCCATATATTCCTAAATCTCGGGAGCTAGAGAGTTCAAACTTAAGCACAAACAGCTACATATATGGTGCAACACCACCCTCTTCGCCATACTTCGATTGGTCGGATGAAAAGAGTGGTATCTCCTCAAATTCAAAACCATCAAATGTTCTAAGTGCAAAAAACTACTATACACATGTTGACAATGTGAAAGAGAAACATATAAGAAAATCAGCTGCATGTAAGAACAGCATCTCTACATCTGATGGGCTGGCATCATCTCTCTCAAATCACAATGCTGTAAATGCGGTCAAATCTGCACAGAGGAAGACGAATGAGGACACTGTTGAAGCTGATTGTTTATTTATGTCTCAGAAGCATGTTCTTGCAATGGAAGTTGAATGCTTAATGTTCCAAGCTTCTATGTGCAGAGTACGGCATACCCTGCAGTCGTCTGGTAGTTCCACAGTTTCTGGTACAAATCAGCTGTCAAGTGATCCAAGTACTATTACAGATTATATGGCGAATGAGGTGAAGAAGAAAGATACTATACCAATGAGAATAGCCGGAGATGTTGATGAGGGAACACTTGATGGACACCACAATGCACCTGTTGGTGTTTGGCGGTCTGTTGGAGTTCCCAAGGTTCCAAAGCCCTCAAATTCACCTAGTATGGAACTTGGCTCTTCCTTACCCCACAATTCTTTCCATGAAGATGGAGTTCTCTCTTATGGGCAAAGACCACCACTTCAGGAACTCCTTGATGCCATGCCTTTACTTGTCCAGCAGGCTACTTCTTTTGTTGACCTGGCCTTGGATGCAGATTGTGGTGATGGTCCGTATGGCTGGCTAGGTTTGCAGGAACAATGGAGGAGGGGATTTCCATGTGGGCCATCTATGGTTCATGCAGGCTGTGGAGGAACCTTAGCCTCTTGTCATGCATTGGACATTGCAGGCGTTGAGTTAGTTGATCCTCTTTCTGCTGATGTAAGTGAATTTTCCTTCTACATGCTATTGCATGCACACAATTCCCCATATTATATTGGTAGATGTGGACTTTATTATAAATATTTGTTAAAGATATGATTCATGCTTTCATTTATTTAATGAAAAGTTCCGTTTCATGATAATAAAAGGGATAGTGTTCATGATTATTGATATTATCTAGTTATCATATCAGTATTTTACAAAATTAGCTTTGTATGTTTCCTTAGATTTTTATCACATCCAGTCTGGAACTATTAGTATTACTATTACTATTAAATTAATTGTGTGTGTGTGTGTTGTTTCTCCTTCTTGCTGGCTTGTAGATATGATGTAGCTTTAAAGACTTTTTGCCACTATTTTAGAAACGTGACTGATTCATGAATTTAGGCTTCTCAATATAATGGATCCTTCAACCCATTATTATCTATCTTACATGTAACTTCCATATTCTGATAATGAAGCTTGAGCATAAAATGCTAAATTTATCGTCCAGGTTTATGCCCCGTCTGTAATGAGTTTGCTGCAGTCCGACATGAAAACAGCCTTGAAATCTGCATTTGGCACTTTGGATGGTCCATTATCTGTAACTGATTGGTGCAAAGGTCGTGGTCAATTAGGTGATATGGGAAGCACAGGTGATGGATTATCTGCTGAGTCTACTATAAATGAATCTAAAGATTCTTCGAGTACTGTTATGCTAAACATTGGAGAGCCCATAAGCCCCTCACATTCTTCTGCTAGTGGATCGTCTAGTCTCAAAGGTACAGATGTTACATTTTATAAAAATTGAAATGTTTAGTTCAGTGGATTATGCAGTTTTCTGGCACTGTAGGCAGTAGCACAATGGATGGGTCCAAAATGGATGAGACTTCCCAAAGGAGATCAAACCAAGAAATCTCCAGTTCAGGATCAGACCAGCAACTACTACCTTCCCGATTGAGACCAACGATTATTGTTCTCCCATCACCCGCGATACTTGTTGGGTATGCATTTGATTATTAATCATTGTGTCAGTTCTTGAGAGATCTTGATATCCTCTTTCGTTTTGTCTACTAAACATTTATATAATTTCATAGTCTATTTAATATCATGAATAGAATATTACTTTATAGCCTTTAAGTGATAGTTGCACATTCAAATTAACATTATTAGAATATTACTCTATAGTCTGTAGTCTGTAGCCTGTAAATGACATTTGTTCCAATTTTTATTTTTCACTTCAAGAGCTGCAGACTTAAATAACTGTTTACATAGATTGCATAGGCCACTGTCATACAAAGGCATGGAGCTATGTGTTCTTGCAAAAATGTCTGTCAATGTTTGAGGAAGAAAACATTAATAAACAAAATAACCGATGAACTAAAGCAAGAAAATTTCAATATCTGCCAATATTGATTGATAGCAATCGCTGAATTTCAAATACACCAAGATGATTGTATTTTCATGTAAATGAATTACTGTTTTTAATATCTACTGAGGTTGAAGATAACAATGATATGTAAATAGGTACCAAGATGATTGGCTTAAGACATCTGCCAACTCTCTGCAACTTTGGGAAAAGGCCCCTCTTGAGCCTTATGCTGTACAAAAACCTGTAAGTTGGTTGAAATCTGAACAGGCAGAATCTGCAGGGCCCTATTTGTCTTCTTGCCCATATTTCTTTATGTGGTATAAATGTTTAAATGATAATATCCTTTGCACCCTCTAATGGCAAGGTTTTTTATTTTCATTAACTGTTGCAGATAAATTATTGCGTCATTTGCCCAGATATCGATCCTCTTGCATCTGCTGCCTCCGATTTTTTCCAGCAACTAGGAACTGGTTAGTAATAATTGTTCTTAATGCATATAAAACCGGATTGGACAGGGTACTCTTTCTAACCAGTGGTTTACTATATAACTACTGCAGATTGTTCTTTTAGCAATGGATAAATACTGTTCTTATGTCGATAAAAGTTTCACCTTTACATTTTGAGAAAAGTAAATTTCCTAGTTTATTTTTTCTGTTATGATATATTAAAAGATTTATGTGGTTTATACATTGTATTATTAGAGATTGATGAAACACTAAAATTTTGAACCTGTAGCATTGTTTGTAGTTTTTGTTAGGCATGAAAAAGAGTTTTTGTTACTACCTTCCAACGATAAAGGTTGAAATAGTAGTATTGTCTCTTAGATTCTTCCATTTTTTTCTCAATGGAAGGTTGACTTTTCATGGAAAAAAGATCCTGATTAAACATAATCCTTTTCATATGCTCATTAACTGTATTCAAATCGTCGAGAGGTCATTTACTAATTTTTTTTTTCGGCCTTGTCAATCACCAGTGTATGAGACATGCAAGCTGGGAACACATACCCCACATAATTTAGGGAATCAAATGGATGTCGATTCTGGGAAGTTGTTATCTTCAGGTTTCGTCCTACTCGATTGTCCCCAGTCGATGAAAATTGATAGCAGTAGTGCTTCAATTGTCGGTTCAATTAGTGACTATTTGCTTTCTCTATCAAATGGATGGGACTTGACAAGTTATCTTAGATCTCTTTCAAAAGCTTTGAAAGGTTTGAAACTCTCTCCATCTATGTCAGCTAATCCCAAAGAAGGCAGTAATGGTTCCTGCATGGTATGACATTTGAATATCTTCTCTACTATTCTACTATTTTTCCCATTGCATGTCGCTCAGTGTATATTATTTCCTATATGCTTAGCTCACCTACATTTTTTTTTTTTTTTTTTTGCCAACCTTAGGTACTTTATGTCATATGTCCTTTTCCTGATCCTCTGGAAGTATTGCAAACTGTCGTTGAATCTTCTGTTGCTGTCGGTTCTGTCATGCTCCAGTCAGATAGAGATAGGAGGACAATATTGTGTAGTCAGGTTGCAAAGTCATTAAGCTGCTCAGCAGCTGTTGACGAGTCATCAACGTCAAACGTTCTAGTTCTTCAAGGATTTACTCTTCCTAAATTGGTATTGCAGATTGTGACAGTTGATGCAATTTTCAGAGTGAGTAGTCCATCAGTAAACGAAATTGTAATTCTTAAAGAAACAGCTTTCACTGTTTATAACAAGGCTCGTCGAATATCACGGGGAACATCGACTGATGTAGTCCAGTCATCATCAATATCCAGTAGATCTCATTCAGTTTTATCATCAATGTCATCTTCCATTCCAGGGATGTGGAAAGATTGCGTTGGTATTAGAATAGCTGGGCATTCACTCCCTCGAGAGGGTGAAATCGATGGTACCCTGAGGTCTGGAACCTGGGATAATTCATGGCAAACAAGGCCTGGATCATTAAGTAATGACCCAAATAGAATTGGAGAATATTATCTTCAAGATGATTCTTGCTACATGTTTGAACCACTTTTTATTATGGCAGAACCTGGTTCACTTGACCATGGAATTTCACCAATAAATCCTGTTACACTAGGAGTGAAGTCTTCGAAACCATTATCCGATGACAACAGCGGTGCCTTTTTACCGAATGTAAGTTCAGCAGTAGGTATGGATATAGGAACTAACTCTCAAGTAGATGGACCTGAGATGGATGGGTTTGGAGGTCATCAAAAGAATCCTAGCCTACACTGTTGCTATGGATGGACAGAAGACTGGCGCTGGCTAGTATGCATCTGGACAGATTCACGAGGAGAATTATTAGACAGTCATATATTTCCCTTTGGTGGGATCAGCAGTAGGCAGGATACGAAGGGTCTGGAATGCATTTTTGTCCAAGTTCTGCAGCAAGGCTGTATGATACTTCAGTCATGTTCTCCCGATACTAGTGTTTCCAAGCCTAGAGATTTGGTTATTGCAAGAATTGGAACATTCTACGAACTCGAGTATCTAGGTAAAATTCCTCTATCATTATTATTTTCAGCTTCAATTGTTTATCGACTCAGTTTTAGTAGACTCTGCTTCTTGTATCTAATACCCTCTGTGAGATCCCAGTCGGTTAGGGAGGAGAACGAAACATCCTTTATAAGGGTGTGGAAATCTCTCCTTAGTAGACGCGTTTTAAAACCTTGGGACAATATCTGCTAGTCGTGGGCTTGGGCTCTTACAAATAGTATCAGAGTCAGGTTTCGGGCGGTGTGCCAGCGAGAAGGCTGAGCCCCGAAGGGGGGTGGACATGAGGCGATGTGCCAGCAAAGACGTTGGGCCCCAAAGGGGGTGGATTGTGAGATCCCACATCGGTTGGGGAGGAGAACAAAACAACCTTTATAAGGGTGTGGAAACCTCTCCCTAGCAGACGCATTTTAAAAACCTTGAGAGGAAGCCCGAAGGGGAAAGCCCAAAGAGGACAGTATCGGCTAGCGGTGGGCTTTATTTCACAAGTGCATCAATCATCTCATTCAGATGCGAGCTCTTGGGATATGATCCCCACTTAATAACTCACAAGTTGTTTCTTGATGACTTTACGACACGCTATTTTCACATATCCATCCGTTAAAGATTTACAAAATTTTCTATTAGATTTTTGGGGGAGGTTATTTAAAATTTCTGACCTGTTTTGGAACTAATGTTTCGGATTTTGCCATCTTGTTCTGACTAGAGTGGCAGAAGGCCATTTATTCACTATGGGGATCGGAGGTGAAAAAATGGCCGTTGCAACTTCGCCGCTGCATGCCAGATGGGATATCATCAAGTAGCAACGGGAGTTCCTTGCAACAACAGGAGATGAGTTTGATTCACGATAGAAACCTTCCTTCCTCCCCAAATCCTTTATATAGCCCGCATTCAAAATCTACAGGCTTTATGAAAGCTAGCATTGGACAACCTACTATAAGAAAGCAGCTAATGGGTGGTCATGCAGTGGTGGACAACTCAAGAGGAATGATTCAGTGGGTGCATAGTATCAGTTTTGTCGCAATTTCGATGGAGCATTCTCTGCAGCTATTACTGCAAGCCGATTCACCATCGCCCGGTAAGATAAGCTTTGCCAATACCTAACGTATACCTCGTTTACTTCAATTGATATTTCACTGCTGTAAATATTTTGTTTCATAATTGTAGATTACTGCCTTTTCTTGTCTTTGTTGCACGTACTCGAGCCTTACTGTTCTTTCATATCTGGGTTAGACGACCTCGAACTTAGCTTCATTCTGGAAACTTCATGAGCAATAAATATGTTTTTGTGATGCTTTATATCTGTTATGAAATTACTCAGTTGTAGATTAAGAAAGTACATTGCAGTAGCTGTGATACAGCCTGTATCTTTTTGACATATTCTGGGTTTCTTGAGCTGCAAGGCATTTTACGTTTTGCAGCAGTAGTTTTCTCAGTACTTACCAAAGGTTTTCGCAGGCGGAAATCAAGGCAGCGTACAGTCATCGTCGTATGTAGAAGGCTTTACTCCGGTTAAATCTCTTGGTTCCACATCTTCTTCTTACATACTAATCCCATCACCTAGCCTGCGTTTCCTTCCCTCGAACCCTCTTCAGCTTCCGACATGCCTCACCGCCGAATCCCCACCTTTGGCGCATCTCCTCCACAGTAAGGGGTCTGCAATTCCACTTTCCACTGGATTTGCCATTTCAAGAGCTGTACCCTCAATGAGGAAGGATTCCCGGAGCAACATGAAAGAGGAATGGCCTTCAGCCCTTTCGGTTAGTCTCATCGATTACTATGGACATAACGTCACACAAGAAAAGAACGTCCGAGGGATTATCAAGCAAGTGGGAAGAAGTTCAAGTGTGGAATCACGAGACTTTGAAATCGAGACGCATTTGATCCTCGAGTCTGTCATAGCAGAGCTTCATGCCTTATCATGGATGACTGTGAGCCCAGCATACTTGGACCGACGAACTGCCCTGCCGTTTCACTGTGATATGGTTTTGAGACTCAGGAGGATTCTTCATTTTGCTGACACCGAGCTTTCTAGGCGTGCTGAAAAATCTAAACATTAGGACGATATCGACTGTGAGGTAATACCGAGGTTGTTTCTTGCTGCTAATTATTCTGTTAAAGACCTGCTTACCATGTAAAGTTGTGTATTATAATTCTTGTACATGCTAGATAGCTGGGCAATTCTTAATTATAATGCTTAGTTGTTAGGATTTAGGAAGAGAATTAAATGTTAGTTCAGGTTTATGTGAAAAATTAGGACAAATGTATATGAAACAAAACGGAATTGCAACTTCAAAATCAGTTTGATTGAGAGATGCTTTGATTTTCTCAGAATATCAATGAATGATAGAACCACTTATCTTTCACCCTTACAATCATCTCTATATTAGTCGTATCGTCACAAATTACCATTCATCGTGACCAAAAACATGTCTCAAGGTTGTGTACATTTACGATGAACGATATGAACTTTGGTCTTGTTTTGTGTATTTATTTGTTGTTATTCTTTAAAATACTTGAACGTTTCTTTACTTCTTTCAGATGAAGGGTCATTTTAAGGCCGACTAGGGCCATTTTAAGACTGGCTCGATTATTTAAGATGGTTTTGAGTAAATTTTTGTTTAAGCACTTATTTTATATTAAAAAAATGAGCACATGCTAATTAGGTTCGACACCGATGCAAATAATAACCTTTTAATATTTAAAGAATACTTTAACTTTGGTGGTTATGGATTAACGTATAAATATATCTAAAAGTGAGAGTTCCTATAGATTAATTTGAGTATATTTAAGTGTTAGGTGTTAATGCAATGCTTTTGTTTGAGGGTTGGTTTTTAAGGATTTTTAAAATTATTTGTTAGGCTTTATTTGGTTCGATTCACTTTGAATGACTAAAAAACGAGCCTCTAGTAGAGAAAGACACGCCAGTTCCAAACTTATATACCCCCTGAACAAAACGCTTTGAAGCCTCTTTTTCTATGGTATATTTGACGAAAATGCCCCTTCCTATATCGAAAATTGACTTAATAAAAATTTCATGGTGCAAATGACGTTTCGTTAACAATTGCATTTAGACGTCAAAATTACCTTTTCGCCCTCTTATACGTTTATAAGTTAATATATGATATGTGTTAATTGAATTTAATTATGGGTCATTTTAAGTTTCTTCCTTAAAATATAATTTAATATAAATTAAAAAATTAAGGATAATTTTATTTAATAAATTTGTAATTATTGGGTATGATATGAAATGAGTATAAACCCATGTGCACAAGCCGCATCACCATGTGATCCCTTCTCTCTCATAAATGAGAGAGAGACTCTTTGATAGAACAATAAAGAAAATGCCAAATGGCAGCTTCTCATTGGTTCCTATATCACACAAAAAGAATATATATATATATATATATATATATGCAAAATGTGGCTATTCTACACTTCTAGTTATTTTAGGGTTTTCACTAAAATAACAAAAAGCTTTTTTTGATATAAAAACGACCACTTTTACGCTAAAAATGAACGGTTTCTCAAACGTTCACAAATTTTATCGTTCTTGACGAAGAAAATGGAGTCGTTTTGGTCCACAAACTAAACGTAACAAATTTTGAAATATTCCATTGAATCTAAAGTTTCCCGTTCCAATCATTCCATACCTTATTCACTTTACTCCATGTGTTTTTGATTCTGTCTCCATCATGTTTTTTCATATTTTTAAATAATATAATTTTAACGTAATCCTATATAAGTTTTAAAGGTACTGTTCCAAGACGTGCAAAGGATAGCATCAAATTTAAATATTAGACATTAACAATAAGACATATTAATTAACGGACGTAAAATTACATAAAATTAAATTAAATTGGAAATCACACTCAAACAAATTGAATCATCACAAACCCATGAAACCCATGTTGGATTCATGGAAATTGAAATACATTTATTCAGAGGAAGAAGGGAAGAACAAGAGGAGCAAGAGAAGCCATTAAAGTTGGGAGGGACAGTGGAGCATCAGAGGCAGGGCTTGGCGCCGGAGCTTCTTGAGCTGCAACAATGGAGGAGGAGAAGGCCATGACAGCCACCACCATTGCCACCATCAAAGCTTCAAACTTCATGGCCGCCATTGATCACAGATTCAAGCAACAAAAAAAAGCTTAAAGCTTTGATTTTTATGCTCAAATTTCTTGGCTTTCAAATGGGTTCCTCTTGGTTTCTTCAAACTCAATTGGATTTGAGAGAAACAAGGGTGGATTTGTTGGTTTTTATAGCCAATAAATTCTTTTTTTTTTCTTCTAATTTTTAATTTTTAATTTATTGTGGGTATTGATGGCCAAACAGCTGTCTTGAGAGCCACCACTTTTTTTTTTTTTTTAAATAATTTTTTTGGCATTTTATTTTGAAGGGTTTCCCACCTCTTTCTTGCCTTTTTCTATGTTATTGCCATTAATTTTCAATTGAAGTATCTTCATTTCTTAGCATCTTCCTTGTTTGATGGAAATCGAAGAGGTTAAAACGACAATTGTGTTTTTTCGGAGTGTTCATATGACCTAAATCCACCAATTCGAACTATCCACTGAATTGGGTCGAGTTATATATATACATATTCGATTTGGGTTGGGTTGAATTTTTTATAAACTGAAATAGTTTTTTAGTCGGGTCAACTCGAATAGTTTGAAAATAGGGTTATAATCCAAACATTATTTTATTTATAATCGATTTATATTTTTTTTCCTTATATGAAATTATATTTGTTGAGTTGCCATGAAGATTGGGCTTAGTGAGTTTAATTTGAGCCCACTAAGATTGGGCTTAGTCATTGGGCCAATTAGGGTATTGGGCCTTGTCATTCCATTGGGTCTCCAAAATTTTTCAAAAGGTCTATTTTAACCTTCCCACTTTAAAAAATTAAAAAATAAAAAACGTGTGGAACATGAAAATCCACTGTTAGTAGATATTGTTTACTTTAGTCTATTACGTATCACTGTCAGTCGCACAGTTTTTAAATGCGTCTACTAGAGAAAGGTTTACACGTAATGTGGGATCTTAGAGTGAACCAAAAACGCTTAAAAAATTTTCATTTCTTTGAACCCAACTCAACTCAACTAAGATGCTAATCCAAAAAAAGAGTATACGGATTGGGTTGGGTTGGGTTGATCGAGTTTTTTTTGAATAAGTTAAAATGATGACGTGTCACAAGACAATTGGTCAAAACGGTGTACATGAGCCACAGCAGATTGCAGCCACTATGATTAGTACTAATATACGCAAATTCATTCAGCGGATTTTGTTTGGATTTATCAATTCGGTGTCACGTGCACTGAAAAATCAACCGGGTCGACCCGAAATACATCTGACCGTCCAATTCAATCCAACGGCCACAAAAATTCCACTATTTTATTTTCGATTTCGAAAATTAAAAATTTGGGGGAAAAGAAAATTGAGAAGAGGGTGAAAACTGAAAAGACAGAAACAAACAAAGAGAGAGAGAGAGAGAGAGTTTCTCTGCAAGTGAACTGAAGAAGAGCGGCTGATTTTTCTTCTCTGTTCCCTTTTGATTGGTGAAAACTAACTGTGACCTATAAAACTTCAATGGATTTTCTTCCATTGTAGCCATTTTTCTCTCTTCTTGCTCTTCGAAGACTGCTTTCCCATTTCCATTTTTTCTCTCTACGGATTCAACGATTCAAACTCTTCAGGGGCTTCCGTTGATGATGATTACAGCCATGGAGTTGCTCTTTTGATGGATTGTAGAAATGTAAAATCTCATTTCCCCTTCTTTTTCCTTTGTGGGTTTTGTTTATATTTGGGGGAAAAGTTAGAATGGCGACTCTGAATCTGGTAATGAGTCAAGGGAGCTTCATTTAATCGTCGTTTTTCCTCTGTTTTTTCACAACTTATGTGAAAATTGAACGAAAGAGTACTTGATTATAGCATCTTCGTTTGGTAATTCGTTTTTGATTGTTGTGAATCCATTGAATGCAGGGTTATTTGAAGGAAATCGTGTTCGATAATCCACTGAGTTTTGGGCTTGAATCTTGAGGTTGGTTTCTAGTGATTTGCTTAGCTTTGTTCTTGTGGGTTTTTGATGATCTTGGGGTCTTTTGTACAATAGAGAAAATGGGTGATTGTGGTTTTTGTTGCAGAGATATGGAAAACGAAGGAATAGCTCAGAAAAACAATAAATCTGGTGAAACAGATTTTGTGTTGCAGTGGGGGAACAGGAAGAGGATGAGATATATGAAGGTTAAGGAACCACAAAGAGTTACTAATAAACCTGATTGTTTAGGGAAGAAGAAGGTTTCTTCTAATGGTGATCGCCGTGTTGTTACAGCTGAGAAAGCTTCATCTACTCACCCAACCCATCGCCTTAACAAGTGAGCAACCGGATATCTGAATCAACGAGTATAAGAACATCATACATTTTTACTTTTCTTTGTTTCTTCTACTCTGATCTTTAATCCAACTAGTTTTAGATTAAAACAAGTTCATGTTCCACCCTTTTTAGAACACTTGATGATGAATCTTTGGGTTTTGGACTGCTTAAAACAAGATCATAATCCATTCATTTTAGAACACATGATGAGTCTAAACCCTGGTTTGAAATGTTGATGAGAAGGAGAAGAAATTGTTAAGATATTCTCTTTTCTTGCAGGAACATTGTTTCACCAACTAAGAATCAGAAAACATTAGCAACATCGCCCGAAAAGGAAGATCGATACTATACGACGAGATGTTCGATGGGCGTGGATGAAAAAGCATCAATGGATTACCCCACAGGGAACGGAAAAGGGTTTGTCTGGCCAAGGCTCTTTATATCTCTATCTAGTAAGGAGAAGGAAGAAGACTTCATGGCCATGAAAGGGTGCAAACTTCCTCAAAGGCCTAAAAAGAGAGCCAAGTTACTACAGAAAAGCTTAGTTGTAAGTGTTATAGAACCGAGGAATCCTTTGGGTTCGGTAGATAATATCATAACTCCTCTTTCGTGTCTGTGGATGCAGCTGGTGATGCCAGGCTCATGGCTATCAGACTTGTGCCAAGAGAGGTATGAAGTGAGGGAGAAGAAGACTGCAAAGAAGGTACAATAACCATTAAACATTAACTGAAATCCATATACTCTTCTTTGTTTGTCATTCTAATAAACATAAACCTGGGGGTATGGAATTGGGATATGCAGAGACCCAGAGGATTGAAGGCCATGAGAAGTATGGAAAGTGACTCAGAATGAGTGAGCCAATAAGAGACACAAATAGAGACAATATGGATAGAATAGGTTCTTGTTTGGTAGCCATAGCCATAGCCATAGCCATATTTTGGAGAATAGCTTCTTTTGGTTGATATTGACTGCCCATTTCTTCTACTGATATCTGTATTGCTAATTGTTGGCTAATTCAGTAAAATCATTATACTTTTTCCTCTTCATTGCTTGGATTCTGACGTTTGTGCTTTGTTCTTTGCTTTGCTTTCTTCATTTTCAAGTTATGGATTGCTTCTTCCTTTCCAAAACTAGGGTGTGTTTATTTATAGCTCATAGGTTCAAATTCTTTGTTTTATAAAAGAAAAATGGGGTTGTGTTAACCCTTTTAGATGAAGATTGAATCACCGATCGATAGATCGACTTATCTAGTTAGTTTCATTGAATACGGCTTTCTACAGAATTCTATATGTATCTATGAGATTGAGTATGGAATTCGGTTTTCTAAAGGAATTTGTCTCTCGTTGAGAAGTCAAAGACTTTTTCAGCCAAATAGGGGAGTTTCGATTTTTTAAGGATTTCCTATTGTTCTCCTCTTCAACCGAGGTGAGATCTCATAATTGAAAGTAGTAATCCAACTATTAGTTTTTTCAAAATTTCACATCATAACGCTTTGTTTTTCCTTTTTTTACATAATATCTGCAAGTATTTGACCCAATTTGCACGTATCGCGACTATATGTGCATCTCGACCAACCCCACCCCCACGATGATTCATCATAATAATCTTCAGCAGGTCCTGGGCACAAACAAACATATTTCCAGTGTACTCATACAATATAGAGACAACCCTGTTACAAATATCAACCACTACGAAATTTTAATCAAATCGAAACCAAATCGTGATCGTCTACAAGAATCAAATATAAAGTAAAAGATTATATTGAGGGAAAAAGTTCGTTTTTGTACAATTGAAATCGATGTTCGAACTGTCGAAGCGTTCCAAAACTGCAGGTGGGAAGCATAAACATGCCCCAGGCTGCATTGCTTTCTCTATATTCCCCAAACTGACTCGTTTATGTTCCTCTATAAGGGGAAGAATTGTAAAGAAAGAAATTTACAACACCAATGCCTATAGCTAAATACAAAATGTACCCATACAAAAAGAAAAAAAATTATGCACACCATTGCTTCAGCATCTTCTTTCCACGAAAAAGTACTAGAAAAATGCACCGTGGCTCATTCAGGATATTGCTTCGTGCTTCGAGCTTCGAGCTTCGAGCTTCGAGCTCGTTAGCAGCTGCTTATGTCTACCAAATTGTCAACCCAGAAGGGTTGCCCTTAGAGGCTGAGGATACATAACATTGCAACCTGAGAAGAATGGATTCAGTTTAATTTCTTACCTCAACAGCTAAAAGAAAGTAAACCAGAAGTTCTCCACAAGGGACAAACAAAAGGACGCCAAATTCGTTAAAAACCGAACGAAATGCACCGAGAAAACACATATTAGGGGTCCTAACATACAGATACAGACGAAAGATTAAGGTTTACCAGGCAACTGTATCGTGATTAATAGGTCGAACAAACCCGCTGAAGCAAAAACAGACCGCCAGCCCAAGCTTACTCAACATGTCAGTGATGCACACAGGCATCTCACCTCATATGATAAAACCAGCTGAAGAGATGATCATGTGTGCTACAAGACATCCAGGGTTACTGATGCTTTTGTGAAGACAGAGAGGACAAATGGCGCTTCTTCGCCCGGGTGTATCGTCGTAGGCACAATTGTGTAGCCCTTTGGATCAGGTTCGAGAACCATCTCACATGATATTTCACGGGAATTGACATAGTCAGTGCCTCCAACAGATTCATGTAAGTAAATATTGTAAGCTGCTCGACGTCCACGGGTTTTCAAGATTCTCATTCCGATGTAGAACATCATCGAATCATGACTTGATTGATAGTTCCTGAAACCAGCAGCAGTCCTGGAGAAGCTCACGCCCTAAAAATGTATATAAGGTCATTAAAGTTCATCAGAACGAAGATAATATCAAATTCAAGTTAAGGAGAATACCTGAGTTAAGGTAATGAACACATGAACAGGATGTGATGCATCTGGCCCAGAAGCTTTCAATCGAAACTGTGGATTTTGATGCCATGTATCATAATCTTGACAGCCACCAGCACTATAACCTCTCCATTGGCCATGGACGGAGTAACGCATCTCCGGTGGATAGATTCGACAAACATATATAGATCGAAAGTGTATCTGAAAATCTTGCCATGACATCCAGAATATTCCATCTTTTGACTGCAAAACACATTAAATCGCGCTAAGTTACTATGTTGAGATCACACATTTTTGTCGTGCTTTAAGTCGAGATCATACATCATTTCATCTTACAACAAATCTAGCAAACAATGCATAAGAACAGACCTGCGGAACATGCTTTAGCTTGTGCTTCATCCTATCGGTCCATTCGGGCGAAGAATCGGCCCAAGGACCGTTCCACTCGACTTCATTGGCCCATGGATTTCGTATTTGAATAAGCTTGTGGCCATCAACCTCTCTGACCTGAATATTCAGTAAAATATTGGACATTCCAAGAGTATATTGATACCAATTTATCAGATTAACAGGTAGAAACAACATACCTGTAGCAACGAATAGGCATGTCCTTGAACAATGCCGCTAGAGGAAATATGCACATCTGAACCTGATGGACTACCAGCACCAAGTAAAAATCCCTCTTGTTTAAAGCGCAACAATTGAGACCATAGCCTACCACTGGCTAAATCGATCTGGGCTTGGGCGCTCCTCATGTCGATCTCCTCACCAGCACCGCCAGTAAGATCTACAAGAGCGTCCTGAACTAGACCGCCCTCTAACGCTTCGTAAGAGCCATGTAATTTGGCATATGCCTTTTCTAATATGGACACCCAGAGCTCGTTTCCTTTCCTACTTGTAGCAAATGCAGGCTTCCCAGGTGATTCACATGGGATCCAATCATCGACAACCACAGGGACCCACTCGCTCTAGAAAGAAAGAATCATCACGTGGAAGTAACCGAACAATAAAGATTAGGAACATGAATAAATAAGAAACAACAGAAGAATTTTAGATCAACCATTGGTGAAGTCAAGCTTACTATAATAACATATCATTTCATCAATGGCATACACATGACAAACATGAACAGCAAATGATAGATAGTATCAAAACCTCACCTGAATACAGAAGCGAACTGTATAGATGCCTTCATCATTATACCATGGTGTAATAATCACTTCAGAAATTTTGGACGCCTCGGTTAGGACAGCAACAGCACTTAGGAACCAACAATCGCCTAATCGACCCTGTTTCAGACGTGGATCTTGTCAACGTTAAGTAAGATCACAACCAATACAGACAAACACGATCGTTCCTTAGGCAAAGACATACCAAATGGACAAATATTTAAGAAGTCGTTTATCAGAGACGAACCTGACAAACATCGGATGGATTGGCAGCCTCGGAAAATAAGCAAGGCTGAGAATCTATTCTGCTCGCTTTTACTAACTCGACGGGCCTCATCCACTCAGAAACGACCTAAGAGCAAACGTTTTATGAAGAAAACATGACACTGATTAAGAATCTCAAAATTAGATAAACAATAAGAAAGAGTACCTGTAGTTTAGAAGGTGGATTCTTTGCATCCACAAACAAGGACTCATCATTTGGAGGAAACTCCTCGTCAGTAAAATGCATTTCTCCCCTTGCAGAGAGGGCTTCTTTAACAGCCAATTCAACGGAAAGCATTCGTTGGTTGATTTCCTCGCACGTTTCCATACGAGGTCTCCTGAACTTCCTTGTGAAAGAATCCACATCGACTACTACTCCGTCACGCTCCAATCTTCTTTTTCGTCCACTTGAATACTGCCCATCCCAATCCACATCGTCCCTATCATACAGATCTACGTCTGCAGGATCACTATCCCACTCATCAACCTGAGGAAAACAAACAAGACATCCATTAGTCAATATGTTCAACGGGAATGGTATCTTGCCTCTCATATCGTAATCGAGAATACAAAACATACTCGAGATGGTGAATCAGCCCACTCCCAATTATCTTCAGTGAAGTCAATAATATTTAAGTCCGTGGAGCTAATAGCAGAATGGAGAGCAGCAATTTCGTCTTCTGTCAAGCTCCTTCCCCAGAGAAAAACATCCATAATGTGCATCTTGGACTCAGCTCCTTCACTGTCTGATCTCCCAAATATGTCGATGTCCGTGGGGGGTCGAACACCGACCCAAATTTCTGTCCCTTGCTCCCAAATGTTATCACCCACATTCAATGGCAACCCAGCCTGGTAGCCATCGAACCCACCATCTAAATAGCAGGTTGCTTCTCCCAAATCAGCATCAATGGTCATAGTTACAATATGCCACCTGCAAATAAAGTTCAAAATATTAAATAGAATTCAGCTATGCCAAAAAACTATTCTCCAAAACAGCCAAGACGGGGTTGAAAGCAAAAAACTCAAAATCTCAAGCACGAGAACGAGAGAGCGGCGCTATTCAGTCTGCTTCACAAAACAAATAACAAAAATGCAGTGATATGAATCAGTGGAGAAGCTACTTGGTCTAGTTCTCAAAACAACTGACAGACCTTCCATCAGCAATACTGGTTGCACTTATGCTCCATTCCTTTGTTACAGTTGATTGTCTGTCACCTTTAGTAATCAATCTGAGACCAACTTGTCCAGCTTCAATACCTTGTTCAGAACCAGCCACCAGAAATTCCCAGCAAATCTTCTTCTGATACTCTGTCCCGAACAGACAAACAGGGCCCGACTCTGGCTGAATCAATGCAGCCATTGAAACACTGATTTTTCGACTTTGACATAAACTAGCATCAATCTGACCACAGTGCTTGCCACTTCCAATTGGCTCATCATCAAGGACACAGACAGCACCAAGGATTCCTGTCTGCAGAAGGTACAATGAAAATAAAGGGTACACATTATTACAACTACAAATTCTTCCAAGTAAGGCCTGCTAATCTATAGTACTTTGAACCAAAAAAAAAAATATATATATCTTATTTCATCATAAAGGGTGAAGTACTCAACCTGAAGTGCACGACGAGCTAACTGGGCTACTCGAATCCTACGAGCAATGCTTGACACTCTCTCTCGAGCAAAAGAATCCTCAAGCACAGAATCACCTCCAACCGCACGCACTG